CATGCCTTGTGAGCGCCCTCAAGATGAACCACTCCATAATCTTCCCTGGCACCGAGGTCAGGCTGACGGGCCTGTAGTTCCCCGGATCCTCCTTCCGGCCCTTCTTGTAGATGGGCGTCACATTGGCAAGCCTGCAGTCTTCTGGGACTTCCCCCGTTAACCAGGACTGCTGATAATTCTGCAGTAATTGATAATAATTGATTCTGCAAACTGTTGCATAATATAAAGGGAAATCCTACTGAAGCAAAGCCGCAGGAGCTGTCTGACTCCCTGTTGTGGTTTAACCTCAGTCGGCAACTGAGTACCACACTGCTGCTTGCTCACTCCTCCCCCTGCCCCCCCGGTGGGATGGGGGAGAGAATCGGAAGGGTAAAAGTGAGAAAACTCATGGGTTGAGATAAAGACAGTTTAATAGGTAAAGCAAAAGCCGCTCACGCAAGCAAAGCAAAACAAGGAATTCATTCACTACTTCCCATCGGCAGGCAGGTGTTCAGCCATCTCCAAGAAAGCAGGGCTCCATCACAAGTAAAGGTTGCTTGGGAAGACTAACTCCAAACGTCCCCCCCTTCCTTCTTCTTCCCCCAGGTTTATATGCTGAGCATGACATTATATGGTATGGAATATCCCTTTGGCCAGGCTGGGTCAGCTGTCCTGGCTGTGCTCCCTCCCAACTTCTTGTGCACCTGCAGCCTTCTCAGTCAGTAGAGCATGGAAAGCTAAAAAGTCCTTGACTAGTGTAAGCACTACCTAGCAACAACTAAAACATTGGTGTATTGTCAACATTATTCTCACCCTAAATCCAAATCACTGCACTGTACCAGCTACTAGGAAGGAAATTAACTCTATCCCTGCCGAAACCAGGACACTCCCGCTACTCCTTTGCACTACTCAAACAGCTACCCTTTCTGTCTTTAGGGAGCAAACAGTCACTGGGTGGACTGAATCCCACTGCACTGGTCAGTGGACTCTTACTTCTGAACAAGGGGTATTCAGTATGTCTTTACACATAGTGAAATTTTGTGTTTGCATTCAGTGGTATAACATTTTACAAGATGTCACACTATGTGTGCATAGCAAGACTGATAAAGGACTTTAACGTATTATACTTAAATAAAGAGCACACACACACATATATACATAATCTTTAAACAGATGTGGCTTTGTATAATAGAATAAAACACCAGTAAAAGTATTTAAAGAACATACAGTTTCTTCTTTTTATGTACTTGCTCACAGAAACAATTATTCAAGGCATATCATATCTGCATTTGTGACGATGTCGACCTAGTGCTTGTCAACCACTGCTGCAAGGGGGGATGGCAGCTTTTCATGATTACTTACATTTCATTACTACCAGCATCACCCAAAGGATCTTCTGCCCACTCCTGTATACCCCTGAATTTCACGGAAACCCAGGCATGGAAGCAGTGCCCATCCTGCCATGACACTTTCCAAATTTGGGACCTTCCCTCCATGTGAACTTTCCCGCCCACTGTGACTCCAGTGACAGCACAGGTGCTGCCTCACCTTCTACAGTGATTGTCTGGCTTTGTGAGAAGCATTTTGTCCAGCAGCCCCAGGGCGTGAATTACAGTTATGGTCAGTCGGTCTTCTTCCACCAACCGAGAATTCACTCCTTCATAGTATACTGCTGTTTTCATTAAAAAACCAGACATTTTATCCTATTATTTGTGGTCAGTTGTACCATGATTTTAAAATTTTCAAGTCATAAATAATATCTTATTTGGAAATACCATTGCTTAAGCTGTTACAAAATATACCTCTTCTAACTGCACTGGAAATATTTCATGTCTTTCTGTGTGCTTGAGCATCCTTCAGTGCCAGAACATGTTTACACTGTCCCACAAACAGAAAATATAGATTAAGTATGATTATTTATTTTAAAAGTGGCAAACAGTAACATCTGTTCACAAAGAACCTCCTTTCCTTGGGACAGAAATTTAAACAAGATTGACAAAGCAAATGAAGTACTAAAAGTCCACTAATTGCTGTGACTACAGGGCAGAGGTGTGTTTGGTCTCCACCCAACACTTGCAGCCTGCTCCTCACTGTGGTGTCCCAATGGTCTACAGTGTGATAGAGGCTGCAGATTCATTATCTGGATTAAATGAGTGCTGCAGCTGTCCTGGTGTTTTTAATGTTAAATTGAGCTACAGTCAAACTTCAGAAAAAAATGTTACTAAGGAAATACAAGGGCCAGCTCCTATGGGGTTAGGAGGCTGATGATCAGATGCAGCAGCCCAAACAGTTATCCTCAGGATCAGCTCTGGGAACAGTTCAGGGGATGGTGATGCAATGGTGCTAAGGCACTGCATATTTCTGGACACAGATGAGCTAATACAATATTCTTAATAGTTGAGGAGGCTGTGGCAAATTCATTTTCAGTGCACAGACATTGCATGGATGGACAGCATCATGGGCACCTGAGGAAATCTCCTCAGGACTCAAGGAGGACCAGCAAAGCATGTCTCACGGTTGCCCAGGGCTGGGGGCTGCACTGTATCCAAGTTGTTATGAAAATGTGGTAGAGAAAATGTGGAATTTTGTAGACCTGACACTTGCTTTCTTGAATTTTGGATACTTGACTGCACTATTAGATTATGAATTGTTAGTATTGAAACAGCTGAGTGTAGACTGCATTATAAAAATTGTTCAGGAAATTGTCAGGTATATTCATATGCATGCACAGACAATCCAAAAACCGTATCAAAGAGCTCCTGTAAACTGGTGTTTCACTGCACTGTATAACAACTCTCATGAAGTAAATTACTTATTTTAAAAACTGTTAAATGCATAAAACTATTCATTAAAGGCAAACACAAAATGCTCTGAACTAACAAACCATCATGGATTTTAGACAGAGCATTTCTGAGTTGTATCTTGTTTCATTTGGGTGAACTTAATATGGAGCTGCAAACAGTGTTAAGGCTGTTGCCTGACATGTGAAAACTGTGTTTGTGTTTGAAAATGAACGCTGGTTGTTTCAGGGACAACCGCAGAAAGAAGAACTTCTACAAGTCCTTCAAAGTCAAATAGGGATGTTGAAAAACACTACAGGGGGACAAGCTGACATCTCTTCTCTTGAATTATTTCAGGGTCTTCTGCTGAAAAGATCTCTGATTGGATTTCTGGGCAACCTTTCATCATTGAAGCAAATAATTTGATGCTCTCACTCCTCACTTAAGAAACAGCTTCTCAGTTCGAAATCACTGAACTTCAGGAAGACAAATGATTTCTTTTCCCTCTAAATGCAGGAGTACTTCAGCTTTGGACTATTGTGCCAGTTGACAAATTAATCAACTTCTGGCTGGCTGCCCTGACTTATTTCTGTTTTGGCTTAACCTACTCATGTGAATCCATTTTTCTTGCTCTCAAATACATAAAATCAAAGAGCAGATTTGCTGTGACTCATGTGCTTTGTTATATATGTTTATCATAAGTAGAAGCAAAACTTCAAGAACACTCTAGATATTCCAAAAGTTACGCTATCTAAAACTCCTACTTCAAAGGAAATGGTATCACTACTGTTCCCTTTTCTGTAGATAGTAAATGGAAATCATCATTCAGTCCATTAAAGAAGCAAACCCCAAATTACCATATAGTAGAAATATATTCATTAGCACATTTATCAGTACTAAGTATGCGAGAAAGGCCAGTTATCTTTAATGGTTTAACTTCTACTAACAAGAGCAGTTAAAAGGGTTATAAAATACTGGATTATGGGAAAAAATCACAATGTAAAGAAGCCATGGTCCTTGGCCTCTCTATGCCCATCTTTCAGCTTTAGGTCTCCTTAAGATTCATCATCACTTGCCTGGAAAAAAAGGGAAGGGATTCAAGCCTTGAACAGCTTTCAAATCATCATAAAATCATAGAGCAGCCCAGGTTGGAAGGGACCTCAAAAGATCATCTTCTCCAACCTTTCATGGGGAAGGGAGCCTAGATGAGCTTTTCTAGCACTCTGTCCAGCCGCATGTTGAAAACCTCCAGCAATGGGGACTCCACCATATCCCTGGGGAGGTTGTTCCAGTGAATGATTGTTCTCACTGTAAAAAAATTCTCTCTTACATTGAGATGAAACCTCTCCCAGTGCAACTTGTACCCATCACCCCTTGTCTTCTCCATGTAGCTCCTTGTGAAGAGAGAGCCTCCGTCCTCTTTGGAGCCACCCTTTATGTACTGAAATGTTGTGATGAGATCCCCCCTGAGCCTTCTCCTCTCCTTCAGTCTTTCCTCTTAGGGCAGGTTCTACCGTGCTTTGATCATCTTCATGGCCCTCCTTTGGACCCTCTCCAGTCTGTTCATGTCTTTTTTTAATTCTGAGGATCAGAACTGGACACAATACTGCAGGTGTGGCCTGACAAGCACTGAGTAGAGTGGGATGATCACATTTGTATCTTTGCTAGTAATGCCCCTGTGGATGCAGCCCAGGATCCGATTTGCCTTCGTTGCTGCAGCAGCACCCTGCTGACTCATGTTCAGCTTGCTGCCGACCAGGTCCCTTTCAGCAAGGCTGCTCCCCAGCCACACAGACCCTAGCCTGTACTGGGCTCTTGGGTTATTCCATCCCAGGTGCAGGACTTTGCACCTGCCTTTGTTAAACTTCATACTGTTCTTGCTAGCCCACTCTTCCAGCCTGTCCAGGTCTCTCTGTGAGACGGCTCTCCCTTCTGACATGTCCACCTCACCACCCAGTTTAGTGTCAACAAACTTGGTGAGAGTGCTTTCAATCCCATCATCCAGATAATTTATGAAGATGTTGAACAGCATGGGGCCCAGTATTGATCCCTGGGGGACGCCACTTGTGACAGGCTGCCAGCCTGAGTAAAAACCTTTGATCACTATGCTCTGGGTGCGGACTATTAGCCAATTGCCTACCCATCTCAGAGACCAACCATGCAACCTATGTCTTGCCAGTTTGTCCAGGAGAAGGCTGTGGGAAATGGTGTTGAATGTTTTGCTGAAGTCCAGGTAAACAACATCCACTGCTCTCCCCATGTTGACAGAAAATGTTCCCTTGTTGGAACAGAGCAGAGCAGAATAAAATAGAATAGAATAGTTCAGTTGGAAGGGACCTACAACAATCATCTAGTCCAACTGCCTGACCATTTCAGGGCTGACCAAAAGTTAAAGCATGTTATTAAGGGCATTGTCCAAATGCCTCTTCAACACTGACAGGCTTGGGGCATCGAACCTCCCTCTCCACGCCCCCTCCTCAGGAAGCTGTGGATAGCAATGAGCTCGCCCCTCAGTCTCCTTTTCACCAGACTAGACAAACCCCGTGGCTCATTACAAAGAGTAAAAAATGAACAAAGTTAATACTTCATTATCCCTTGTGATACAGCATGAGAAAAGACCATATTAAACTTATCTAGAGTGGATAGAATTGCAAAGAACATGTAAAGCATATATATTTTTGAATGTGTTACAGTAACTTTATCTTATAGAAATATTATTTGTAATTTATACATTTCAGAAGTCAGCATTTAAACAATTATCTCTGTACTTTAAACCTTTAGTAAATGACAATAAAAATCACTGGAAAGCTCTACCTTATAACCAACATTACATTGTATAAATAAAAATATGTATTGTCAGATTAAGCACTATGCATATGATGACATTTCAAGGCTAATATCACATTTATAAAGGCCTTAGAAATTAAGAATTAAACTGTCATTAATATTCATAGTTTAACGTGTTCATTATTTGGCATTATATCTTAATGATACTATGTGAATATTCATAGACAAACACCTTGATTGATACCAATGACAATGATAGGCATTTCTAAATTATTCAAGTAGGAATATTATCCATATTTATGATACTCATTCAATTAACATTGACTGCAAAATTAATTATTTTTCATAATTCATGTATTCATAAATATCATGCTGTTTGTCTGCATTAGTGTTAACTTCTTTACCCTCTATATAAAACAGGAAAAAGAGAGCCAGCATTCATTAACATGAAACTGGAACAGTTCACCAGAAACCCAGCCCTCTAGAAGTCTCAAGCCCCTCACTGCAACTCAGAATCAAGAACTAATATTGTCAGCTGGAGATAACCAAAGTCAGGTTTCCAACGGTGCCTCAGGTGCATTGAGTAGCCCCACCGTCATTTCTGCAAATCCACCCAAATTTAATGCATGCATGGGAAAAGACTGCAGCAGCCTTCAGGAGGCCTGCGGGGAACAGAAGGAGGCTCAGCTGCGGTGACACCATGCGCTGCAGAAGTGGTCATGATGCGCTGCTTTGCTCACTGGGTGTTGCTCAGTGCTCAGCTAGTGTGTAAAGTGATGGAGGAAGCAGGGTGCTCAAGTAATGCAGATTGCTTCCACAGAAGTTTGCAAATGTAGGCCGATAGTGACAGAAAGGGCAGTCGGTCTGGAGAAAACCTGACACTTCTCTTGGCTGGTTTTAATATGACCCAGGGAATACATTAGGGGGCAGAGTAAAACTGAACGTTTAAGAACTCAGTGTGTTGTGTTTCCTGAACTTAAAGTCCTGTGCTAAAAGCAAGAAAAAGACTTTATAACTTCTGTGGCAATGTATGATCTGGCTTTAACAGCAGCTGTGTGGTGGGGCTTCCCCAGGAGGAGGTGTGTGCCTGCCAACTGCTGGATGTATCACAGAGCAAAGAGGAGCAGGAGGTGTACGAAGGAGAATGGGATTTAAACTGCCATTTCTTGAAGGATGGGTGGAAAAACATGCATAGTAACATAAAAAGGATGGGTTGCCAAACAACTCAATGGTGCTGGAACAAGTACAGATGAAATAATTTCAGGTCCAGGCATAAAATGAGATATTGATACATATTGACAATACAATTAAACCAAATACAACTGAAATGATACTTTCCTGGGCTTGTCTCAGGGGTTGCAGCTGCCTGGCCACTGCTGCCCCAGCACCGAAGTAGGCAACGCTACTATAAATTAAAAGATAAATGTCCTCTGGTTCATGCACTGCACATTTGCCTTTGATACACATTGATATCTTGTAAAGGTTTATGAGATAAATTACTAATTATCATGTGATCTTCTAGGATTTCTACTTTTCATTTTAGCCACAGAATGATGAAAAATTATTAAGACTTCAGAAACCTAGCTATTTTAATTGAATGTGGAAACATAAAACAGAGCAGCAGAGAGGTACCAAAAATAGGGCTTTTTTTTTTTTTTTCTGACGTTGCAATAATGACTCCTAGCCAACAAAGGTGGCTGAATCACATGAACCTGACATTGCGCTTTAGAGAAAGATGTTGTGATTCAACATCAGCTCTAGGGCAGGAGACTGTATTCAGGAAGTTTTCCAGCACTTGCAACTTTTTAAATTTCATTGTGAGGTTTTGCATACAGTTTAGTATTTTGCAGAGTACAAGTTTAAACCATCCTATCTTGCTCTCTTGAAGTGCTGATTCTGCTTCAAGTGTGAGGTCTTTCCTTGAATTTTTTTTCTCGATTTTCATCAGGTGCTGTAGGTCATTTTCCTGCATGTTAAGAATGAGCAGGGGTTTGGGTATACAACTGGCCAGAGAGATTCCCTTATGTCAGCTGCAGCTATTAAACCATTTTCTCCATTGCTTCACTGGAGAGCTGTCAGGACCCTGAGCACCCCAGGTTTGGCTGCCCATGCTGGAGGCCAGCCCTGACATGGTGCAGCTACAACCCGAGATCACACAGCTGGGAAAGAGCTGGCTGAGAGACGATGCGTTGTTGAGGCTCCCCTTCACGCAGCATAAGGCTCAGACTTTCAGCCTTGCTCCTGGTCTGGGCTGTGTCGCAGCCTCAACCCTGCCTGGCTGTGTCCCTCACTGACCCTGAACTCAGTTTGTTTGGCCTTGGACTGCCTTGTCCCTGTGGACCTGTCTGGCAACTGGGACTGGGGCTGGGGCTGGTCCTGGCTCTTCTCCCCAACCTGCTCTGCTGGCCCCATGCAGGTCCCTGGGGCTACCGGGTGCCATCCTGGCGCTGCTCTCCATCCTGTCTGGAGCAGCCTGCCCTTGCAGGTCCCTGGGAAAAACAGTCAGGAAAAATCTGTGATTCAAGTCTAATGCTAATTAAATTAATTCCTGCTATTTACTTTCTTTGCACAAAGCACTATTACCAACGTCCTCTAATGTGTCATGAATAAATTGCCAGGGTTCTTCACAAGGCATATCAGTGTTTTACTTGTGAACATTTAATTTGTTAGGTACATGAATGCTCAGCACCAGGTGTCCACTCAGGCCTGGGCACAGGCATGTAAACTTACTATTTCTTTGAGCCCTGTCCTCAAACTTGGTGGCCCTCCACATTTCCATGGGAGTTCTGGGGGCACAGAATAATGCATATGCCAGTATTTTCTTTGCAGTGAGGTAGGTCAGCTTATAAATATTTTCAGTTCTCTACGATTTATAAGGCTGTGCAACTCTGAGACACAAGACATGGGGAAAACAGTCCAAGGTGGGAAAACAGTGCAAGATTGTGACACAACATAGACCGGTGCCACCTGTAACCTGTCTCCATCATGGTCCAGCTTCCCGAGTAAGCAGAGGACTGGCACATTTTTGCTGAGACAGGTACCTCAGACATGCAGCACTCCCGTGTGCTGCAAGATTAAGCAGGCTCGGGCTACGCAGATTTGATGCTCAGCTCTTTCAAAAAATAGGTTCTAGAAAAAGACGAGAAGCATTTTCATAATTGTCAGGGGGAGTTTGCCTTTGCTCTGACATGATCTGACAGAAAATGAATGGGTCTGGCAACTGTAGTACAGCACTTTGGGCTTTCCAGTTTATGGTACTCTGCCTCTCCAATTCGCCTAATCTTTGGCATGATTAATAACTGTCTTGAAGAACTGTGGTCAGCTTCCTTGTTCTGCTCTTAGCCTACTTCAGTTGCCTCTTTTGAGGAATGTTTCCTGTTTTATGGTATGCCCTAGGTACTCAGCAGATGAATGACATGATGAATGGCTGCTGCTCGCCCACGCTGGTGTCATGGATGGAGTGCGGAGCGAGACTGCACTTCACTCGTAAGAGAGAAGCAACAATACACTTTATTGATATAAAACAGTGAGTTAGAGTTCAATGGTAAATGCAACAGTGATTTAACAAGATTCGATGGCAAGGTACACTCAATTATTTACTGCATAGAGGACAGGGTCAGACAAAACTGTCAGGGAGACCCTCCCGTTGAATCATGAGGTTCAGAAAGGACCTCCTTGCTTTCTAGACACCTTCTCAGAGAGGAGTCTAGGTGCAGCTGGATCCAATCCTAGTCCCAGACTTGGTAGGATTATATATGCGCAATCAATCCTTTATATCACTTAGCTAAGATTTCAAAGTTTAGCATGCTATTACTCACTTACCAAGGATCTGTTGCGGCAAGGAATCTCTCAACCTCGAGGAGTAACCTTGAGAGGCATCCCTGCTCAAGGGGAGATCCCTGTCATGCAGCCTGCTGCCATGCAGAAGAGCTCAAAGGGCTCTTGGGTTGCTCACTATCTATAGGGGTAAGAGGATTGACTCATAGTCATATTTACATACTGATAACTGTGGTTAGGTGGGCGTATTTCTCACAACAACCAAGGACTATTATTTTGTTATCTGGCTCCCGAATCCACTTCATTAATGGACGCAGCTATCACTATCAGCATCCATTAACGACCGCCCCTGGTAGTTATTGCTTGAGTAGGGTTACAGGAGATAAAGATCAGGTTGGGCGGGGGAGCACACCAGGTTGGGTGTGGGAGCACACCGTCACAGCTGGCAGTAGGCAGTTCCTGCTGTCCCTCTCCACAGGCTCCTCAGACATCAGCCTGCCAGCTCTGACTGTAATCACACAGTGGTCCACTACAGGAAACTGCTCACAACTGGCTATTTCACATGGAAAAAATGTGGGGACAAAGGTGGAGAAAAAATTATAAGGTTGAAGCAGGGAGTTAGGGCTGCCTGGGGCGGGGAGAAATTTACCCATCATTGGAAAAATGAGCAGCCTGTGGGACATGGGCAAGATGCTAGACAGCTAGGGTGTCTTCTGACCAGAACACTATGTAAAGCTGGGCTTTCTATATGTAATCGACACCTGTGCAGTATAGATCAATCAGATGCTCAGCACCTTAGTACTGGCAAATCTAGAACAAAACAGGAAAGTTCATGTGCTGAGAGGTGTAAAGTCCCTGCTACTGTTTCTCCCAGTTTTTAATGGGTATGTTTTTCCTTAGGGATATATAATTTTCTCCTAAGTAATATGTTCCTGAATTTGGTATTGTTATTTCTGTGTTTGTATGCCTTATGTTGGTTTGTCTTTTCTTTTTGTGGAATGCTGACTTCTGTGAAGACAACACACCATATCCATGTTCATTTTCCTCTACTCCTCAAGCGCAGCTACTGCTCCTTTAATTTTTGCCCTCCATTCCAGCACGTCTTGCTCTTCTCTTTATTTCTTCCCAGAGTGGTTTTTACTGTCCATCTTCTCTTTGCATAATTCGAAATTCTGGCCCCATTTCTCTTGTCTCTCTTGAGATTGCAGGTGCCAATAAAAAGTAAATGTAAAAGAAACTTAGAAACCCACTGATATCATGCTCTTTTTCTTGTTGACTTCATCAGGGAGGAACTGGAATACCACTGTGAAGTTTCGTGTTGCCTAGCAACAAGTTTCTCACCAGTGCGGGTCTGTGATGCTGGGCTTACTAATGCAAGTGCGTTTAATGGAAAGGACAGAGTACGAAAAATGGGCCAACCAGGCTTCCTCTAGCAGCATCCTGCAAGGTGGGGAGGGTGTCAAACAGCAAGGGGCTTATGTCTCTTCCACTGCAAATCTTCACTCAGAAAGGGAGGCTGCAGCACTGACTGGGAGCTCAGCCTCTGTGGGGACACCGTCTCCAGCCTGCTGGGAAGCATGTTGCTCTACCGGTAATGCTCAGTGTTTAAGGCTCCAAACACATATGTGCACCTTGGGGACAGTAAGCATAAGCCCTGAAGGTGGAATAGCAGTTGTTTACACACAGTCTGAAAGAGTGCATTTTGAATGAAGAAGAGTTTTTGAGGAGACCTGCAGTGAGGGTGGTTCATCACCACTCTGCTTGTATTGTTGGGAAAGGTCAGAGCATCAAAGGATAATTCAGGTGGGACTTCCAGGCTGAACTTGCCTCAAGCCTTATTTTGGCACCTTCTTAATGACCTTGGATAAAAGAGTATTGGGGGAGATGGTGTCAAGAGCCTTGTAAAGTAAATGTAAATGATGTCCACAGTTCTCCTCTTGTTCACAAGTCTAGTCATTTTATCCTAGAATTTGGTCAAGCGTGATTTACCCTTGGTAAATTCATGCTGGCTGTTGCCAGCCACCTTCTCCTTCATGTGCCCAGAAATGTGCTCTAGGAGGACTCCCTCCATGATTTTCCCAGGCACCAAAGTGAGAACTGACCCACCTGTAGTTCCCCAGATCATTCTTTTGGCCTTTTTTGAAGATGGATGGTATTTTCTTCTCCTCAATCATAGACGACCTCCCTGCTCTCCCCAAACATTCAAAGATGACAGCATCCTGCAAAAATGCCAGCAGCTCCCTCAAACCCACAGAGGTAGCCCATGGGATCCCATGGACTTGTACAGGTTAAGTTGATTCAGATAATCCCTGACTTGACCCTCATCTACCACTCGTCATTCTGCTCTTCCCTGAACACCTTCTCTAAGCACAGAGGACTGGTAGATGTAGTTGGTGAACACTGAAACAAGCAATGCAGAAGATTACATACCCTAAACCACTTCCCAAAGGGAAATAAGTTGGTCTGGCAGGTCAGTTGGCCTTCCCAGTCATAACTGCCCCTGTTTTAGTGAATACACTGATGAAGTGGTTTCAGTGAGGGCTCTTATTTGTCTTCATTCCCCTAGCTGTACAAGTAAAACCTATACTGCAGGCAAAATTGACACACATGTTCAGAGTCTGTAGGTTTGCTGCAGCCCATTCACAATGCTGCTGAGCACTGAGCAGCTCTTGTGTCATCCTCCTCAGCTGTCACACTGTCAGTGGAATCACAGCAGATGTGCTTCCCTGAGGACTACCACTTCTGCTGGCCTTCTCCAGGCTCCTTGCAGGGCAAAAACAGTGTGTGGATTAGAGATGGCAAGAAGAGGCCTTTTGCAGTGGTAAATGTCAAACATCATTACACTTTTGAATACTCATTGTACCTGCTGCACTTTCTTACTCTATCTTGTTCACCTTTCACCTTCTCAATGCAACAGACCTTCCTGTAGGAGGTATCTTGTCTTCCTTGTTGCTCTTTACAAAGCTGCTTGGTTTGTCTCTGATTAACAGGTTTGTATACACAATATCAATATCAGACTGACAAAGAGAAGGAGTAGAGGGCATGGTACGAGTGAGATTTTGTTCTGCTCGCTGCCATTTCCCTATGTAAAGAGTTGACTTTGCTGCCATCCTGCCAGATAAAATGAGAATTCTGTTCTTTCCTCACAGGAGAGTAGACAATCTCCTTGGATCTGCAAGACTTAGGGCTGGCATGGCTGTTTTCCACAAACACTCCTAGCTCGGCTCTGGGCTGATAGATTCACCTCCTCTATGTATTTTTCCATATTCTGTAATTTGATGAGTTGTAAGATTCAGAGCTGCCCTTAACTGTATCCTCGTAACACCCTTGCAGTCTACAAATGCCCTCTGTCTCCACATCAGAAAGAAAGACTGGTTCCAGGCTGCACCAAAAATTCCAAAGCAATGCTAGGAACTTAACTAAGAGTTTGCTCTTAGTTGCTAAGAGTCACAGAATCACACAACAGATGAGGTTGACCTTTTAAGACTGTTTAGTCCAACACCCCTGCTCAAGCAGGTGTCAGCTAGAGCAGGCTGCCCAGGACTGTGTGCAGCCAGGTTTTGGATATCCAAGGATGGAGACTCCAGTACCTATCTGGGCAACCTGTTCCAGTGTTCAACCACCAAATATTTTTTAAATGGAATTTTCTGCACTTCAATTTGCACCCATTGCCTCTTGTCCTGTTACTGGGTACCATTGATAAAAGTCTGGCTTTGTCTTACTTACTGCCCCCCGCTCAGGTATTTCTACAAATTGGTAAGTTCCCCCCTAAGTCTTCTCTCCTCCAGGATGAACAGTCTGCTTTTGTCTACAAGGACTCCAATGTCCTTCTCTGCTTTTCAGCTGGTGTACTGGTGCACAGGGTTATTCCTGCACAGATGCAGGACTTTGCATTCATTCCTCCTTGTTGAACTTCATGAGGTTCCACTCTGCCCATTTCTCTGGCCTGTCCAGGTCCCTCTGAACAGCAGCACAACCCTCTGGTGTATCAACCACTCCTCCTGGAATAGAGAACTTCTCTCCTTCCTTGTGGAAGGAAAGTTGCTATTAACTGCTATTTTAAGTCAGATCCCACATGGTAACACAGAGGGACTTATGAGTCTGGAGCTGCAGTGTTGACTCTGCTCTGCAGGATTATTTTACCAGTCACTCTATGCCTCTGATCTACTGGCTGAATAAGACCCAGCAAAGAACCACAAAGTGCTCATGTTTCCAGTAATTTAAAACATACCATTCTTCACAATAATTCATAACATTATC